GGATTTAATGAGGTGAAACTCTGTGTGTGAGGTAAATGTTGAAATTGCTGCATGTAGCTAAGCGTGCATCTTTTAATTATCCATGCTGTAAGGATCCATCAGTGATACAAAACTGTGCAGGCGGATCAACACATTTAAAACCCAGATAGTTTCCTTGTGCACTTTTCACATCTGCACGCAATGACGATGTAATTCTGAGTGATAGGAACTCTTTCTTTTTAAAAATGTGACCATATAGTGATAATCCTTGCAAAAGGTTCAGCTTTTCTTTGCAAGGAATTCTAACAGTTTCTTTGTTAGTCACAGTTCAAACATGCAATGAAAGCAAATTCACGACTGATTAACCAGGCAATGTCAATTTCCTTTCAAGAATGAAACAAGAAAGCAAGCAACAGTGGATGTTAATAAAAATACGAACAAAAGGGGATAACTATAAGGCAGAAAAAGTGCAAGACTCTGTTCAAAATACCTAATGAAACTCAGTTTAATATTTGAAATTCACAAAAAGTACATTTGTGTTTCTTCACCAGTCACCCCCAACCTATTTGTTAGGTTCATATTATGGTCATTATGGTCATATCAAGACTGCTCCAGTCCATTTTAGCTAATATTCCTATATCAATAATATGATCTGCGTCAGTAAAAACAAAGATTTCCATTCTTAAATGGAAAAAAGAGAAGTGCCCTCACAAACGAAGCCTGTTAAAGGCAAACACCAGTGGCCAGAAATGGGTTAATTCAAATTACCGTAACGTAATTTGATCAATTGAGGCTTCAGGTCACAAACATGAAAAAAAAACACAAACAGAACTCACCTCATATTACATTTGTGTTTGTGTAAGATTCCATGAATAAGACTGGTGAGGAGATTCAGACCTGTTATCATCAGCCTGAAAAGAAACATTTTTTTAAAAAGAAAAAAGAAATTAAGTCAAATTGTCCATGATTTGGTGAAAAAGAATTGCCAGTTTACTCAGGGAAGTTAGCTGATAAGTTCTACAAACACTTAAAACTTCAGCCTCAGGTCATCTGGGAATAAAAGTGCGCACATACAGGTGCATTCACTTTGAATTCTGATTAGATTTTTTCTCATACATTTGTTCCCATTAGTCATTTAGAATAAAAGACAGAAAAGCAGGGCCAAGGTTGGAGGAAAAAAACCCCCACCAGAACTGTCCTTTTACGATTAAACTCATTTTACTATTGCTGATAAGGCCATCACTCTTTGGCACTGTCTCCGTAGTCAGAGGTTGATTTACTGCTTTAAATTATTCCTTTTTAGACATAATGTAGCTGCACAATGGTGAGCGTTATTAGATGGTGTGCAGTGGACAGAAAATCACTAATGCAGTCAGTGTACCAAACATCAAAGTGAGCCATTCAACAAGGAAAATGCACAATAGTTTGCAAGCGTAAAGGTTCACATTGTGCGTCACGCTCCTCTGTCTGATGTTGAGGGAAAATGTGCAGCTAAGATATGATAACAGCAATAAAAAAGTAAATCAATTGCAAGAGCAATGGTAGAATGCGATAGATATATATTTTATACACACATATATATATATTTGCAAGAGCATTAAACTGTGTGTACCTGCATGTAAAAGGCTGCACTGCAGCAGAGTTAACATCATTTTACTTCCATCACAGATTGTCTGCCTCAGAGTCATATAAGCTCAGTGAGCCGGCATGCGGAACTTCAATCAGCGCCTGTCAACCTCCGCTGCTGCCCACACCGTTAGCTTGATGTTCACATACAGCCGTGTCAACATGGAGTCAAACACGCAGCAGCTGTTGTGTGTGGGAACATGTTTCCATTCTACCCACTGTCCTCGTCATTGTGTAGCGAGCGTGAGCCAATTAGTTTGACCCAGTTTTTACATGAGAGAATCTTTTTTTGCGTAGCTTTGGCTCTCTGTGCCTTCGGTGTTTTCTGCACCTCTGCGGGGGTCCTCTGCGAGTTCATGACACACAGGCAGGACCGCGGTCAATTAGGCTCCCTCATCAAACGCCCAACGCCGAGGTGTGTGTCGGGCTCACAGCTGAAACTGTGCATGAAACTGGTGGCAATTTAACAGCTCACACCAGAAAGGATAAATTTGGTCCAATAAAGAGCCTTGGAAGATATACAACATCGAGGGGGGGGTTGTTCTTGGCAGCTGACATGGACGAGCGATAGTTAACATGCTCAAATGTGATGTTTTCTGCCTGGAGGGTAAAAAGCTGAGGAACTTTGATTGGTGACCATCATTAAATCCACAAGTTTATCTGCAAAAAAGGCAACCAGCAACTAATGTTTGGAATAGAGTTTGAAAATAAAAGCAGAGGGTAAAATACAATATTTTCTCTGCTTGAAGGAGTTTGAAAGTTAATATTTCTAACTTTTATTTTCAGATATCCTTATGCTCTGTGTAGGACTGTGACCTGTGTCTATGAGCTGAAGCATAAAATAAAGTCTGTAGAAGACTGAATAAATGTTCCTGTTTGTCACTTTGATTTAAGTCTTGCATACCTTTGATTAGAAAGAAAAATTCAAAGCGTGCAATAAGGAGCACTCAAAGCATCTTCAGATGACCCATTTGTCCAAATTTTGAAAAATCCATCTGGGTTAGGATTTATTACTCTGAGTACGATGTGTCTGGAGAGTAGCTCCATATCAAACTAGATGAGTGTGTGTTGGTACACTGAAAAAAAGAAAATCTCCTAACCAGGCTGATTAAATCCAACCCAGTCAGGATAACACCATCTTTCTTTTTACCCTATGACCTCATCACATCACAAACATCATCATCAAACATTTTCTCAATTACAGAAAGAGTCAGGCAAATGGGCTGGTATTAAATTCCATGTATCGGCATAGCTATCATTATCAGCTCCAGTTTGAATATGACCCAACACAACTGGACTAAGACTCTTTATTTCTATCCTCTGGAAGAAGCTGAGGCCTGCCAAAGCTTTGCACTGATAGTAATTCTCATGCAGCCGCCTGCTGGGAATGTTGTTTGTTCCAACTCTGGACCATGACCGACTAATTTGTTGTTTAGTTAATCAGAATCAGAATTACCCTAAGCTCCGAGAGTATTTCTCTGAAAAGGGATATAGCTGGCGCACAAACATCAGCTTACAACACAGCCAAGTGGCACCAGTCTTATTATAACCCAGCAGTCAGTAAACACATCAGCACATGATATTGTAGCGGCCCGGCCAAAGAGGCGGAGGTGAGTTTGACATGCCAAAGTCACCTTATCACTGTGTTCAAGTCTAATGGACGGTCACATGGGCTACTGGTGCAGCAAACATCAGCTTTACTGCAATTAATGGGTACAAAGCGGCATCCCAAAGGCAGTCAAGTATTAACAGAATTATTTCTGTGGCAAATTAGCCACAGTTCTCATGTAAAGCCTATGAGACGGTAGGTTTCGTCAATACAGGCGGGGTTGTCTTTTCTCTTTTTTGACTCAGTTTGGGCAAACACTTTTCTGAGGCAAAGACCAGCCTGGCAGACACTTGAGCGGAAAGACAAAATCCACTATCCAAATGAAGAAAAAACTGTTCTATCATCGGAACAGGAAGCGGCTGGAATTCTCTTCACTGAGCTGAACACACTGAGTTAATTTGTTTCATTCTACTTGGCACAAATCAAAGACGGGCAGATGTAATGAACACGCAACAGCAATTTGATATGCAGAAGCCCCTTATTCAGCCACCCATTTTAATCCAGGAAGCTTCTATTAGGCTGAAAGAAAAAAATACATCACTTCAGGGCTGAAAAACAACAGGGCTGTATACTCTTTTGGAGGTTCTGAGGTTCTCTGATCCTTTTGATAAATCTGAGCCCCAAAAAAAAAATCCTGAAATACAACATACAAGCTGAGACAACGTTCGATTTCCACTTTGAGCCAACATCTGGTAAGAAGCTACACATCAGCACAGCTGACAGCTACAAAACCCACACAAAAAAGTCTGATTCTTTTTGTAGCAGAGACAGACGCAGTCACATGTGGTCACAGGAGAGAGGAAAATCAATGGCATTTAAACTGCACCGCTTCAAACGTCTTCAATGGGTTCTCCTCAGAAGCGAGTTTAAATTCTTATGTATTGTTGCTGTTCATACGGACAAGCCATGGCAGTTAAAAGCCAACCCTTTGTGCAGGTTTTCAAAGCTGCATGACCAATATAATGAAATAAACTTTCTTCCTTTGACAGCTCTCCCTAGCTGGACTTTTTAATGACATTCTGCTTCTTCAGGTGGACTCATTCTTTTCTGCTACTTCTAACCTCACAGGGGACAATAACAGTCCAAAAAGAGGGGAAAAGTAACAATGTTTGACTTGCTTGAAATTCATTCGAGCATTCAACCATGCAACAACATTATGCCCGGTTAAGATGAAGAGTACTCTGCTGTGAGCTTAAAAGGGGAGCCCTGTTATAACACACACTCACACACACACGGGCATTCACTGCCACAGCGGAATTCACAGCAATGAAAATTACATGGGACTTATTTCATGGATTGTCTGCAAGCTTGTTCCTGCTTTTATATTAAAAGATAAAAAGTTCCTGGAGGAAGAAAGAGGGAGAGCTCGGGGTTCCCCAAGACACTTATTTGGGATCTGAGCTGGCAACTAACTGCTTAAAAGCCTGCTGGGAATTCATATGACAGATGCGTTTGAAAGCATTTAGAGCCCTTTGGGGTTAAAACAGCTTGCAAAAAAACTTGGAGAAGACAAGTGTGCAGGTCATGGGGTCATAGTGCAAAGTCGTTAAATCTACTGACTGCAATTGAACATTTAAAATGGGTGTTATGGAGGGAAAATGGGGTGAGGGAGAGCTGTGTATAGTTTTTTTCACTTTCAGTGTGATTTTGATGACAGGAAAAGCTTTCAAAAGGAAAGTTCTCAATCCACAGAAACGGGTCCAATCTCTTTTTTTTTTTAAATCCAGGTGCGCAACAACACGTGTTTTATTGAATCTCCATTTTTTTAACGGATTAATTAGCCTACCTGGAAAAATCCATATCAACATCAGCATGGCTCGGAATCTCCTCTTCATCTCCATGACGGAACATCCACCGGCTGCCCCCGTTAACTTTCTTCTCAACAGCCGGCTCCAAACGCGTCGCTCGCAAAAATCTTCAGGTGACCACTAACTGACCGCCGATGCGCGCAGGACGGCGCCGTCCGCCAGCAAAGCTCCGGCTCCTGTCCTCATCCCGCGGGCAGGCAGAGGCTGACATGGTCCGGCGCACCGGTAGGGTCCGCTCCCTCACACCACGGAGCGGAGGCGCACAAGTTTTTTACGCTTCCTTCTGCCTCCTTCCCTCTCCCCCACCCCACCACACCCCTCCGTGCGCCTCCGAAAATTCAGGTAACCACACCTTCTCTTCAGCCACCGGCCCCTGCTGTGGAGTGCGCGCAAGAGAGCGTGCCGCTGCCTTCTTTGCCCCGCGCTGATCTCACAATAAAGTGCAGGAGCTTATTCGGCCACCTGAGCTGCTCTGTGTCGCCCCCTGGCAACAATCCAAACAAACGCGCACGAAACACCTCAGGTCGGTGCCAGAAAACGAGTGAATTACAGAGACCCGTGCGTCTAATTGATTACTGTTGATATAAATGCTTCACAACAGACATCTACTGATTTACAACATGCTCCACCCAGGCTGGGCACAGATGGAGTTCATCTGTTATTATGTTTTCATAATTAAATTCTTTCCAAAAGTATATCGCCCACTAATCAGAACCAGCACCTCGGTTTTGGTTTTGGATTCAAATATGGATATTTGCGGAAAACAAACTACATTGGTGGTAAATCAACAGACAGACGCAGTACCCATAAATCATCATTTGTGAATCTACAATGTGTTGGTCATGAAGTTATGAGGACAGACATCATATCATGCATTTATTCATTCCTTTATCCATCATGCATTCACAAAAGATTACATACATTTATTATTCAACTTATTATTTCCCATTCTTGCTTCAACTGCAAGTCATTCTGGAAGAGAATTAAGAAGGAGAAAACATCAACAACAAGTAACAAACCAGTGATATTGGGCAAAGGGGTCTGATTCAATAGCCACTCTGAGGAAAAATCTGTACATTTGATGTTGTTTTTGAGGATTAAGTGTAATCTCCTTGTATTTCTTCTATGCATCTGAAATATAATGTAAAAAAATGCCTGTAGAGTTTCATAAAACTAGGCGGAAGGATTTCTCTGTTCTCTATAAAACTGTGAGATAGTGCATCTGCCTCGGGGGGTAGGATTGAAACCAATTCATTTTAGCCTCACACTTTTGCCTATTTACAGTACTATGATGTTCTGCAAAAGGTACTAATAAGCCTCACTTCTCCACTTTGGTGCTTTATTGTACCATTTTTTAAAACTTTCTCTTTTTATTTAAACCATGACTGCTTGGATTTGATTTGACTCCCAGCAGTGCACTCGAGTTTAAGAAGAGAAACTCTCAGTTGGTCAAAGAATCACCTCGTGCAAACCTATTTTTAAATTCCAGGTATACCCAATAAAATGAGCAGTTAAGTTATTTTTCCATTACCAATACAATTTTTTTACCCGAGGGTCTCTGAGAGCTGCTGCTTATTCTGAGCTTCTCCAGTATCATTATCTCCCAGGGGACGAGCCTGTAATAATACGATGCAGTGCCATTCCACCGGCTCTCGCCTGGATGCTGCAGGCTTCCTGTGACCAGTTTCTGATGAGTACGTCTCTGAGATGCGTACACCAGTTTATTATTTACCGGGCCGCGGAATTCTTATCTCTTTCTGTCCGCAGGTTGTTGTCATAGGCCTCTATGTGAGATTATATGGCTGGTAAACATGTTTTTGTAAAGTGTGGTAGGTTTTCAGAGGTTTTTCACTGTCACTTTTAAAAGAAAATCCTTTCTCCCTGATAAATAGTAACAATCTCTCTCTAGCTGCCGGACACCTGAGGAAGACGGATAATTTTCCTACTATGCCACTCACACTCCTGGACAGGTGTAACAGTGTAATAATATTAGGACTATTATACTAGGACTAAGCAACACAGCAAGCAAGCTGATGGATGAGGGTTTGTGTGTCTTTTTTTGTATGTTTTTTTTACTATGTACCTTCCAAGTTGCTGCCAGAGAAGAGGATATCTCTCCAACTCTTTGATGCTGTTTTTTTATTCTTCTTCAAATTGCGCAACCTGTCCAGTTATGTTACTTTCAGATTTGAGGGATGATGTTGCTGATGCTTTTGGGGAAAATATCGTGTTAGCATTGTCGCTGTCACCCTTAGAGATCTCAAAGATGAACCAGTACCATTCAGTGTGAATAAGTCATGGCACATCGTATAAATTATGCTGCAGCAGGGACCTTCCAGAATATCCACACATGTCAGGGCAGGCTGTCTGTGTAACAACAACTTTATTACCACAGCTCACAATCTACTCTGCACCTACCACATTTGGATGATTATTAATGGTTCTACTGTATCCAGAAGCGAGTGAAAGGACATGTACTGAAAGCCCTTTTAATAGAGAGAAAGTTAGATACCACTTGTATATGATCATGTTTCCTGTTCTTTTGGTGCAAGCGTTATACTGAAAAATAAATGAGGGAATAAGAAACAAGACAACACTTTGGGGGATAGACGAAAACAAAAGAAGGATTTGAAGAGAAGTCCCTAGTTTTTCAGGAGTCACAATGCAAAAAACTGATGTGCTCAAGTGTGGATAATTTAACCCTGTTAAATTTAAAATTCACTTCATCTACAGTTCAGATCCCCTCTGAATTAAGTGTTTATTTTCATCATGTTAGCTCACACTGCTAAAGAAAAAGTCAATTCTAACATCCGTCTTGAATATGATAGCATTGTAAAACCAGACACAATTAAAGAAACCCCAGATTTAAAATGCTCCAAAAGGGCATAACAATTATTTATTAAATTTGACTGTTCTTTATGCTTATGAGGCAGTTTGTGTTGAAAAATAGCTGTAGTATGCATGGTTTTCCATAATTATTATGGAATCATAAGCCCTAGATTAACATTAGCTTCTTAATTTCCTGGTCTCCCTTTGAAATAAATATATATGCTTAAACGAGAAAGAGGCCCTGGTTGGAAGCTACACATCCTGCAGGTTTTTCCATCAAAGGCCTTGTGCAGAAAGGAAATTTCTTCTGAGGTCAGGTGCAGTTTGGAGGTTATTACAGAAACATTTGTGACAGAACCTGCACTTTCAATAAGCGTGCACATGGCAAATTGCTGCAGGAAAAGCTCCCGGCCGCACAGAATCTAAACTGAGATGACATTTAGAAATGTTTCTGAGGTGTCTTTCTTCAGTATCTCTCTGATTTGTGTCACTTTCAGGGGCTATCTTTACGAACAGGAACACTCCCTGAGGTTTTCCTCAATACAGTCATTGTTGAATCTTGCACAGATGTTGTTGCCTCAACGCTGGATGGTCAGAGTTAACCTATCCTTGACAGGCAACAGTTAGATAGCTTGACAGTGCTTCATTGTCGTATCACTTCCTTCTCTCTCCACTTTTTACCTTTACATGGAGTGAACTAAGCAAAATGGCGTGCGATTTCAAGATACAAGCTGCTGTTTCAACAATTACGCAGTTTGGTTTAAAATCTAAAATGCTAACAGCAACACTAATGATGACAATGATATCTCACATAATAAATCAAAATGCAATTGATCTTAACAGAAAACTGTGCAGGATGGGATGCCTGATATCATAATTTATATTTTAAATTTATAGTTTTTTTGAAAGTTGCCTTTAATTGACAATGTTTTTTGACTGACTCTTTTAGAGGAACAGTGATGGGGACGCAGAGACATCTGGTGGCGAGTTTGTGTATCAAAAGCAACAGAACACTGCCTAAAAATGCACTTAGCCTAAAAAATGTTAAGAAATAAGGTTATACATGATTAAAAATTTCAAATGAATCCCCCAAAAGTGTCAGCTCTCTTGTCTAACTGTTCTAACTAATCATCCAATGTAATTTTACTTTGAACTAACTTTCCAAAATGGATGCTGCATTCTTGTATGTGATCATTTAAATTCATTTGTATATTTAAATGTGATCAAACATACATGCATACATACTTTATCTCTCAAATTACCTTCCTTTAAAGCTACCATCACATTTTTTCTTAGGACCAGCACATTCATCATCAGGCTCTGGCTTTTCAACACATGGTTTTGTCATAGTTCTCTTAGACTTTTTGGCACCGGACTTACATGTATAAACAGATAAATGAGGACAATGCCATATGTCTCTCAGTGTGGTACTATTAAAGCAATACAGAGCTCTTCCATAGTGATATTAACCCTGAGTTGAGTAGTTTTTTTCATACTTATTGTTTTTAAGGCTGGCACCAAACAGAGTGTGAGTAAGAACTTAATGTGTACAGATTAAATTAGTGAACTAATTTCTGCATGGCATGGCTACAGTACACACAACAAATGGGGGAGGAGGGTGTGAAAATGGTCAAATCTTGTAAATGTTTTTAAAAATAATGTCCTAGTTGTTGTTAACACAGTGACACCCTTAAAAAAAGCCATGAGCTGAAATCCTCCCCTGAGTGAGTCCTCATATGACGTCTCTGTGATGGTTCTGTAGACTTTAAGATTAGAGATAAAAAGTTCATCAGAGTTCAACTGTTCATTACTGTTTCTGAGCCTGTTTTTTAAACACTGATCTGTCAGAAAATAAAGAGAGCTTATATATAGTAGATAGTCATAATAATCTGTTAGAATATGGAATAACCATTCAAGCATCAAGATGTTTGAAAAGGATTTTCCAAGCGGCATTAGAACATTTAAACATATTGTCATAAAAGCTCATTTCGGCCAAAAGCTAACCTAAATAACAAAAAGTTTAAGCTGCTTTTTAGTTCAACAACATAGTAAGTGCTGTATGGGAAAACTTAAAGCACAATCCGCAGTGGTCCTGGTTTGACTTCTGGCTTCAGCCTCTCTGTGTGGAGTTTGCATTTTTTTTAACGTACACTCAGCATTTGGCTTCTAAATTGTCCCACTTCTTTTTATAAGAAAGCAGTCCCCATTAACAGTGCCCATGGTTTTATTGGTATCAACCTTTGGAA